GTGTTTGTATACACCAAGCATTAGATGGTTGTCCTGCACATTACGGAAGAGGTCCACTACCATGGCTAAATGTTAATTATCCCTATCATTGGATTGGCCGTACAGGACCAGTGGCTTGGCCTGCACGCTCTCCAGACCTGACACCACTGGATTTTATTGTTTTACGACTGGATTTAAACAAAAAGTCTAAACAAGTCCGGCCAATGACCTTAATTCCTTACGAAGAAGGATAGTTGAATCTTGTGAAACAATAAAACATATCCAGTGGCCGTTTTGACACTGGTGCTATTGAAGAAAGATGCCAAGCCTATCTTAATGCTCAAGGAAATCACTTTGAACAATATTTAATATGAATTTAATGTTCACGTTTTATTTACTTAATATAACGAAAATAATTCATAATAATGACCCTTTACGTGTGAATATCTCCTAAACAAAGCGTTTGCGGACATACCTTCATAGGAAGTTTTTCCTGTTTTGAGGTCCTGAAACACTATGTATAAATAAATAAAAAAAATTGAAGACAAATTTTTATATCAAAACTCAATGAAGGATCGACTTACAATACCAAAGTTATATTCATATGAACATACATCAGTTATGGTTTAAAACCAGTTTCTAGTGAAAACAAGCAGATGATTTGAAGTGCATATAATTTGCCCCTTCAAATTTGTTGATTTTGAACGATAATTTTTTTTTTAATATTTTTAACGGTGAAAATTACTTTTTTCAGAAACAAATTTAGGAATTCATTAATTAATTTATTTATGGCGTAGGGAGGTTGCGGTCCCATGCCCGTTCATAGGACTGCAGATAGCCTCCAGTTTGGGGGAAAAGTACTCTGACACCCAAACACAGTCCTTTCACTTTATAGATCCGGAGTACTGAAACTGCTCTTTGATCAAATAACACTTGAAACTGGACATGATATTCTTGAATATGGACGACACACCAAACAACCCCTTCATGCCCTTCATGAATCTGATGGACGATTTCTTGTTAGAGGCAGTCCCGGCCAGAGATAGGCAAATGCGACTTTGAGTACCGAGTTCCATGTATTTTACTCAATTTGCATCACTATTGGGAATTCAATCACTACTTCAGTTAATCGTTTGACTATAACTGTAGTAATTAAATTCGTTGTTATTCAAAAAAGGTCAGTATTTGAGTTAAATTCTTGGTACTCAGTACTCAGAGTATCATTTGTCAATCTCTGGTGCCGGCCTTAGAGATTCGGCTCCCCCGCGCAATGGCGTCCCCTCCCCTTGAAAATTAAATTTATTTCTTAAATTGTTTAATATTATGTAACATTGCTCCGACGGAAGCTTCGAGTGAGGAAGATAAAGATTCCTTTTATGAACAGCTCGAATGAACCCTTGATCAGTGCCCAAGGTATGATATGAAAATAATCGCTAGAGACCGCAATGCAAACATAGGGGAAAAAGAGGTCCACCTTCCAACCATAGGTAAACATGATCTCAATGACCAATTTAACAATAATCAAACAAGATTTATTAATTTTGCTACATCCTTTGAAATCATCAATGGAAGTACCTTTTTCGCACACAAGGATATTCATAAAGGCACCTGAACCACACCAGATAGGGAACATGTTAACCAAATTGATCACATCCTTATCAATAAAAGGCACAAATCCTGCCTTCAAAATTTGAGAACATTTCGAAGTGCCAATGCGGATTCGGACCAATTTTTGTGTATTGCCCTCATCACTTCTAAAATCTTCTTCAAAACGCCCGGCTGTAAGAACAAAGCATTATATTCTTAGAAATCTATAGAAGCCAGATACCAAACAATTGTACATTGAGCAGCTAAGTGAGAACCTCCGTGCTCAGATTGTAAATAAAGAAAACACAGATAATCTCTGTTTCAGCTGTGTGAGCACAATGCAGAAAATGGAAATGAGGTCACCATGGTTTGACGGAGAATGAGAGGCATTCACTGATACAAAGAATACAGGTTATAAGAATATGTTCAGGGAAGTGATTCGAAAAGCTGTCGAGGAATATAAAAAGAAGAAGGGAGAGGAAAAACGACTCTATTAAGAAAAGAAGTGGTAAGAGAGGAAGAAGAACTGGGGGCGACTGAGAAATACTAGGAGGAGAAAAAAGTCGAGAGAATTTTTCAGGAGCATAAATCGATGGAGAAGCCCTTGAACAAAGGTACCGGAAACTTGTAGAGACAAGGATGAAAATATAGTGGCCTGCAAGAATGACGCCCTATTACAATGGAAAAGTTACTTTGAGAAGCTACTCAACTCAACCCCCGTGGATCAGAACCAAGAGAAGGCTTAACAGTCAGAAACGAGGATGATAACCTTGAACCACCTGATGATGAAGAAATAATGAAATTATCGGCTGAAGATTAATAAGGCACTTGGAGCTGATGAGCTACTTGAACTCTTTAAGAACAGAGGTGAGGAGCTGATGAAGAGACTTCAAAATCTTATCTTAACCATCTGGAAGGAAGAAGTTTTACCGGAAGATTGGTTTAGTCAATCATATATTCTATTTTAAAGAAAGGGGACACCAATGTCAAAGTCACAGAGGTAACTTTCTTCTCTCATTCGGGTATAAAATCGTATCTAATATCCTATTCCAGTGTCATATCTCCTATACAGAGCAGAAGCTTGATCCCTACCAATGTGAATTAAGACAAGTAAGATATACAACAGATCAAATATTCTGCCTCAGAATATTGAGAGTGGAAATGGATTTCAAATTAAAACCCACTATTTTTTCGTAGACTTCAAGGCAGCTTACGACAGCATAAACCGGAAAGAACTGTACATGACAGTGCCCTCGGTAAAATAATACGACTGGTAAAGCTGACCATGAGAGAAATGAAGTGTACTGTACGGATTGGTGGGCCAAAAACGGAAGAGTTCTCCTCAGGAAAAGGACTTCAATAAGAAGATGCGTTAGCATGCCTCCTGTTTAACTTGGCACATTAGAAGGCAGTGAGGGATTCAGGTTTGCAAACTGACAAGACAGTTTACAATTAGATGGTCCAGCTGACGTGGACGTCTTTAGGTGGTCGTTGCGGTCAGAGAAAGATTTTTAGCTCTTGGCGGCCAGAGCACTTGGGCTGAAGTTGATTGAAAGAAAAAGTGAGTATTTGACCACAGGAGAAGTCACTCGACCTGGCGAAACTATCAATATTGGCCTATATAATTTTGAGAACGTGGCCCTGTTCATATATTTGGGGTCACTGGAGACTCATGATATTACACCTGAGGTTGAGGTGAAGAAAAGAATACTGACGGCCAATAGGTGTTACTTTGGCATCGCTTTCTATCCCGTAAGACCAAGCTTCATCTTTACAAAACATTAATCTCCCCAGTTTTGTAGTATAGATCAGAAACATGGACAACTAGTATGAAAATTGAACAAGATCTCCTAGTTTTCGTAAGGAAAATTCTTCGAAGTTTTGGAGAAGTTCATATTGAACTAAGGCCTAAAAGTAGGTACCCAAGTATTTCACAATGCCCTATGTTCCTATTATTGAAATATTATATTTAGTTCATATTCAAAGATAATTGTAGGTAGCAACATATCATAGGATTTTATGATTCATTCATGTTGACCCTTCTATTTTTAAGTGAATATTTTATCACATTTTCCGTGACAAATTTGAAGCATCGATTAATTTAGAGTACATCTCTCTGCCTCAAACTTTTAAATAAAAATAGGTAATATATTCAATTGTTTTGTAACATACTATCAAATATACCCATCGAAAAAACAACATACATATATTTTTTTCATATCCAGTATTATATTGTCCGTTTTACAATAATTATGTTAATTGTCATTCATAACATAAACTTCCGAAACTTCTTTATGAGGGGTCCACATCACCCCATTACATACCCCAAGTTAAATTTTGTTATGAAAAAGCTTTTTTTTAGAAAAAGATTCGTTTTTAGAATCCTTTGAAATTCTCAAAGCTTTAATGAGAAGAAGAATAGTTGGGGTGATCAGTCAAATAAGAAGACAAAATAAATGATAATATTTATTTTGTCAAAAGGCAAATGACAAAATAAATATTATCATTTATTTTGCCTTCTTATTTGACTGATCACCCTAACTATTCTTGTTCTCATTATTCACGACAGTCAACTATTTAACCACTATTCTCAAAGATTTAACAATACACAAACTATCGGAAATACAATTACCTAACTTAACGCGAAACATACCTTTTTTTCGTATTTCTCTTGTTACCAATAGCAGCTGGAAAATATTCAAAACAAGAAACAAAAGCACTATCATAGTGAAACAACCAGTGCCGGCCCGGGGTCATCTAAGGCCGGCGCTGGGAACAACCATTTCTATATTCTTTTGTCTCATAGTTTGTGAAATGTCTATACGCACCTTTAAATATGATTTTTTTATAGAAATCAAAAGCACTGAGGATTCAACAGAATTCATAACATCTCAGAAGTTGTTCCTAATTCAAAATGAGTAAAAGTTTGTACTTTGGAAAGCTGAATTACTGTTCTTCCAACCCACATCGGTAACTTTTAGATTTCATTCCTTTTTAATATAGAAATAATGAAAAACATCTCAATCATTTTTATTTTATATCTTTGGACGAACATAACAAAGAAAACATATTTTTATCAAATAAAACATAGACGGTTCTATTTCAAGATTGTATGGTTGGATATCTGAGCTATACCGAAAATATTAATTAACTTCATCAGTTTTCTGAAAAGAACAACAGTAAAAAGTTCTTGTTTCCAGTGACGTGTCAGGAACAATATAAAGAAAACTCATGTAATTAGACATAAGCAATTTTGCATTCAAAAGATCATCTAATAAAGAAGAAATCTGTGCTCTTATTAGTTGTGAATTGAATACAACAAGATTTTTGGACAGAGTTCTACCTCTTTGTTATGTTTACTAAAGTTATCAATTTTTAGTGATAAACTTAAATTTAAATTGTTTATACATCATGTAACACTAACATCTACAAATATTTTATCGGATGACTTATTAATAAAATTAAATTGTTAATTCGTTTTACACTATATTTCTTTTACCTTTCAATTGTGACATTCATTCGTGAGTTTTATTAAAATGATTTTTTTTATTTCCCCCATAGTACTTTTCTTTTGAAATAATGATTACATAGGTTAAGTTATTAAAAAAAATTCTTTCGTTGTCATCGATCGGTGTCCTACTTATGGAATGAACCCTCAATGAATTGAATCAGTTGGAGTTATGGTACTCTCGATGGGAAAGGAGTCCTTTCTATTAACCTTGTGATGTAAGATAACAATTATCTGAAGTAGCGGAGAGAAAGGGTAGTGACATCAGTCTTAGTTTAACTAGTTACAATGGATGTCAGAGTGTTGTCTATACAAAGTCATGTGGTGAGGGGTTATGTTGGAAATAAAAGTGCCACATTCCCTTTACAGGTAATTTATTGAAATTAAAACTAAGTTACTGCTTTTATGTAGTGCTAATATAAATAATATAAATTTGATTATTTTGTGATAGGTGCTCGGTTTTGATGTTGATGCAATAAATTCTGTTCATTTTTCAAACCACACTGGCTACCAACATATTAGAGGACAAGTATTAAATGAAGAAGACCTAGGTCCATATTATTTTAGCTCACAAATATAATCGTCAGGTCAGTTTTTGCGTAGACATTAACACCATTTATTTATTATTATAGGAACTGTTATTGATGGCCTTTTTTCAAATGGTTTGAATTATTATTCTCATCTCCTTACTGGTTATGTGGGTTCACCTTCATTTTTGCAAAAAATTGCATCAGTCGTCGAAGATTTGAAAAAGAGTAATCCTAATATGATTTATGGTAAGTAGATTTTCATCATTTTATATTTTTTCTAAGTTTACAAAATATTGCTTAACATTATTAGTAATATTAAAATATAAGATTTAGTGTAGAATTGTTAAAATAGAGCAGATATTTCCTGTGAAATTGCCAGGTTTCGAGTAACTATATTTTAAAAAATTATTATATAAAATTGGTACTACCATATAAATGTCACTCCACTTTCATGGATGGCACAAGATCTCATGATCTCACCATAAATGGAATCCCGAGTGCATTCTAAATTAGACTGGAGTGACCAAACTTTCTAGTAAGGCCTCAATCTCTATTGAAAAGGAAGCATTGTGCTTTGCTTATCCTTTATGAGTAATTTGACGTCTAAGGTAGAAATATAATTAATGCCCCAATATTAACTGAAAATTACCATAAGGGAGTTTTCCAAAATTGTGATTTTAATAAATCAACGTTGCTGTATGGAAATGTCAATTGTTGGAATCCCATTTATTCCATGTTCATAGAATCTCGGCCAACTTGTCAAAGTGGAGTAAAACTTGTACAATAGTACCTAAAATTGTTTAAATATTGAAGAATTTAGGAGAACATATTTAGATTACATAAAGGAAAGGAGATTGTTTTTTTTAAAAAGAATAATATCCTGAAGATGAAGGCATGCTTTGAAACATAAGTGAAGATTTAAAAAAAACTTGTACCAGTAAAACATTGCTTTTGGAAGTTTGTTGCTACTATATATATTTTTACTTCTATCAATATTTCCTATTCTTGGTGCTATAAATTATGTTGTTTTGAAGTAAAAGACCTTTTGATCACCTATTTATTTATTTTGTAAGTTTAATGTTTTTAACTGTCATTTCGGCCATAATTACAGCCATTATAAGTCTTATTTATTAATTCATTGGCATTTCCCTTGCCAATATTTTCCCTTATTGTGAATTATTTTTGAAAAATGATCACTTTTCTAGATTTACATTGAGATACTCTCTATGAATGATTTTCACAGAAAGCTATTTTGAAATGTATATGTTTGTTAATTTTAAATATACCTGTAATAGTTTTTAAAATAATTTAAAAGTACCTTTACCATTGCAGCCCATGGGAAGATCTTGGTTCAGTACTTTCTTAGGAAGTACTGTATCAAGGCCAACAGATATTTATAGAAGTGAGTAGGCCAAGATCGTGTTCATCTGCAAGGTTTTCTAGCCTAATTAATTATATAATTAAAAGTATCCACTTCATAGAGAAGGACCCAGGAGGGTCTTCTGACCTCAGGGTTGATCCATAACTAACTTAACAGAATAAATAATTACCTCCCACACCCGGGACCCAAAGCAAAGTGCCTTACTCTCTGAGCTACTCCAATCCATTTTTAGTACAAAAATTTTGAATAGTAAAAACATTTACTTATTGCCAAAAGAAATTCTTTGTTCCATCTTACGTATTTATATATCAATAATCTTATATAATTAATTTTCAGTATTTGCATTACTTTTTTCATTATTGCATTATTTTACTCTAAGACATATATATTTAAAAATCCATTTTTTTTTTTTTTTTTTAATGAAAAGTGCAAAATTGTTTGCTACTAATGCCTTTGCTTAATCGGGTGTTAACACATAAATAAACATCAAGTGTCACCTCTCGAGCCATCCTATTACTGTGATTTACAGAAAGTTATAATAATATAAGCTATCCATCATAATATAGTACTCTTTTACTTACTGGCAGTTTAAATATTTTAAATGTTATTTGTAGCTTTTTTTTTTATCTTAGTATTAATTATGTAATTGAAATCAAGGCCACATATTTTGTGGTGAAGCTTTTGACTAGTACCTTTTTTTTTTTTTTTTTTTTTTTTTTGCTTTTTTTACTATTATTATAGTATTGTAAATTTCTATTATTTTTTTATTTAAATTTGTTTTATTAAATCTTGTAATAAACCTTTTTTTTAGAATAGTTATATCAGATGATTATTTGTTGTTGGTTTATGTAATTTTTCGATTTCCGGCCATCGCACTTACTTCTTGGGAGCAGGCTAGCTCAGTAGTAGGGCACTAAGCTTCCAATGTTTGAGGTCCCAAGTTCGAATCCCGGCTCATGGCAGAAAAATTATATATTCTGTTTTATTGGCCGTGGGGCGACCCTGGTGTAGGAAACATGGGGCACACCCAGCCTCTACATAGTGGGTACCCTTAATTAAATAATTGATTAGAAGAGAAAACCTGGTGGTTGAGCGTGATCCTGGCCTGATCTCTCAGCACAACCATTGGCCTTGAAACAGTACTTTTCCTAAATAGTACTGAACCCAAGATCCTTCATCAATTGTAGTGGTTCAGGTTTTTGTTTTTTTTAATTATATAAAAATTTACATAATTTAATTTTTAAACCTTCTTGTGAATGTATTGATTTATGTTTTGTAGTTTGTGATCCAGTAATGGGTGATAATGGAAAAATGTATGTACCTGAATCTCTTCTCCCTATATATAGGGATACCATCATTCCACTTGCTGATATCATTACACCGAACCAATATGAATTGGAGTAAGTTTATTTCAAAGGATTCTAGTTTAAATCACAATATACTTTAAATAATGCTTCAATAATAAGCGTGTTTAATAGACTTTTGACAGGCAAGCAGATAAAAAATGTAGATGATGCATGGGCAGCAATTGACAGCTTCCATGAAAAGGGCTGCAAACATGTAGTGGTATCTTCCTCTGAGCTGGGCGATGAAAAAAATTTAGTTGCTTTTGCTAGCAGTATTAAAGGTTGCTATTAACTTTTATTTGACCTCATATTTATTTTATATTTTTACTGCTTTTTATAAATAAAAAAATTCTAATGTTTCACGTAGGTGGAAAGAAGACAAAAGTCACTGTTAACATACCAAAATTAAATTCCAACTTTACTGGAACTGGCGATCTCTTTGCAGCTTTATTATTGGCATGGATGCATAAGACTGATAATGATTTAATCCAATCATTAGAAAATACTATCGGCACCTTACAAGCTGTTTTAAAGAAAACACTTTCACATGCTTTGGGTACAGTTTATAATTAGCATTATATTTGAACAATATATTATTTTGCTTACCTAACGGTATATAAAAACTTATTTTTTCTTAAATTTAAATTATTTTTCATTTTTAGAACTATCCAAAGGCTCGCCCCCCACTCCTGAACAATTAGAGCTGAGATTAATTCAGAGCAAGAATGATATTGAGAATCCGGAGCCAAATGTCCAATGTCGAATAGTTGCCTGAATTCTACCAGTACCTGAATATAATTGTTATTGTTATACTAAGCTAAGAGAAATCAATATACTAACTATACCATAATCTAGTTAAAATGCAATTAACATATAAATGCTTAGAATTGTGAGATTATATTGCTATAGTTAGAAGCATGTTGAAGTTAATCACCATTCTTAGCATAAGGTTATCGTGATTGTCGGTGTGGGATTTAGTCTCTGGTTTTGAATGTTATTGTTATGTTGCCTCTTTTAAAATATTTGTCTAATCTTTTGACCCTGTTGTTAGCGAAGACAACATTTCTTTGACTTAACGCTGCTCATAATACCACTAATTGCAAACAATGCAACAGGCCATTACTCTGGCCATTTTGACAAAAAAAAAATTGATTGATTGCTAATAACATTGTTTAAAATTATTATTTATACTAATTTTTCTGTAAGTCCATAAACTCAAATAGACTTTCATCTATCATTTTAATCATAAAAACAATCGCTATTTCCATTTCTTGCCAAAACGTTTTGGCATTTTAATCTTTTTTAAATTTATGTATGTTTTAATATTTTTAAATGTATTTATTTATTAACTTCTTAGTATTTTAAATATTAAATGTATTGTCTTCATTTACATTCCTTCCTTAGTAGGGAACTAGAAGCAATGATGACAATGGTAGAACACATTGGGGTCAGGGTCCCAGTATGTCCTGTTTGGAATGGTGTGCATTCGATTCCCCACACTTGGTCAGCTGATACTTATTTCTCTGAGGTCTTGAGACTCTCTGATTAGTAGAAGGTAGCAACCTCAGCTGATTGGCAAACAGGATCATCAACTTGTCGAACCGACTGTATCAGTAGTAGGAAACTGATCTTTATTATTTCAATTGGCTGAGTGTAGACTAATGTTGAAATCCTTAGTGTATTGGAAGTGTTGTGTCATCAGTCATTACTTTCCTGAAATAATACTCATTGTTTTAGTAGTATTCTGCCTCCGTTATGTTTTATTGTAAATTTCCTACCATAGTATCACAATGTAGATCAATCAAAATAGTGATCTTAGAACAAACTCAGGGAAAATGGAGGGACCAATTAAAAGCAAGCTCTGTTATCTTTTGCTTTTAAGTGATGTGTTTCACTCACGGCCAACTTTTTTTAACATAATTAAACACTGCACAAGAAAAGCAATATAACGTTTTTAGGGCCATAAGATTCGACAAATATAACAGATTATCCTCATGTTAGCATAAGGCTATGACTGTTTTCTTAGTTGTTATTGTTTAATTTTTATTTTTGACTATTGATATTTTAATAGGAATCAACAAAACATTTTGATATTTGTTTTTATAATTCAAAGTGACCATAATATGATTTCTTTGACCTAACTTATTGTTAAAATTTGTACTTAATTCTTAATTTATTGGTCCATTAAAGTGCCTGTAACTGACAATATTAAATTATTTAGTACTAATAATTGTAATGAAATCTGTCTCAATGCTAAACTACATAAATACAAAAATTTTTGATTTTGGGTTATTTTAATTATAACCCAAATTTTATGAACTACGAATAATTTTTAATCTTTTAATTTTTAGTATATTTTCAATTTATTGCAGAAAGTGACTTAAGTATATTTTTGAATTTTGATTATATTTATGGATATAAAAACTCAATGAGTTCATAATAATTGATATAACACAGCACCAAAATTCATTTAAGTACTTATTATTGTAATTTTCTTAAAAGTTATTTAATGGCTTTCAACAATATAATATAATAATAAATTGCTGGTTCTGATTTTTTTTTTTTTTTAAAGATATCAGTATGATGAAAAATCGGTATTTGTAAATAACACTGTTTCACATTGAGACTGATAATATATATTTAATAAACTAGCATTCCAATAGGGTTATCATATTCTAGTTAATTCAATCTTGAGACTTTTTTAGTTTAAGCTTATCTCGAACAAACAATTTTTAGAACTTTAGTACTTAAAAAGTATTGTCGATATGCTCTATATTAGTTCAAAGCTTAACATCTAGGCAATTATAAACAACTACTAAATTATTAACTAAACATAGAAATTTCATAATATATTTGTTTTAGGAGATATGTCATTGTTGTCCTTAAAATATACCAAAATGTGTTAAAAATATAAATAAACTATACTGCATTTTAAATTTTTTTATATATATATTTACTCTCCCAAAAAAATTTTCTTTATTTTTATTATAAGAATTAAAAAGATATTATTATAAGTTATAAAATTATATAAATACAAATAACAAAAATGTTTCTCGTTTTTAGTCTGAAGTTGGGATAAATAATAAAGTAATTCCAAAAGGTAAAAAAAAAAATATAGAAAATTTTTTTGGGAGAGTAAACTGTTACTTAACTTTATTCATACACCTTATATAAATAAACATCTCCTTTATTACTTATGAACAATATATATATATATATATATATATATATATATATATATATATATATATATATATATATATATATATATATATATATATATATATATATATATATATATAAATCTTCAGTAGAATATCTCTCATTATGGTATTTAACAGTGCATCTTAGAAATAATTTTTTTCTTCGTAGTTTTCTTATATGATTAATTAACTTACAAAAAAAAATTAAATTGTTTTACTTCTTCTTAAAAGAAAGAACTTAATATTTGGAAAGTACCCAAGGGTCGTCAGAGCTTGATACATCAGGAATAGCTGTCAATGAGAACCCAACTGAAGAACTATCAAATATGAGGCAGTAAGAAATGGGGTAACAAGAAAGTAAGGCAACCAACTGCTCTATCAAAGTCCAGGTTGAAGTCTGGCTACTGGTAAAAAATATGTTTTCTGTTTTATACTTGATTGACTCTAGGAAGTAGCTGTTCCAGGATTTAATTTTGAGGACTTCAGCCCAAAAGCTTTTTATTTTATATAAATAGAACGATAATTACTTTAGAACAAAAAGAAACTATCTATATGAGATGATGAGTGATTATTAAATCCCTATTAGAAAAAAATGTAATTATGTGAACAATAACACTTTTAGAGATAATTTAAAATATTTTTTCCATAAAATATGGTTATATTTAGTAGCTGTACATGCATTGTAATTTAAAAAGTCTGGTGCGTGCAACACACAACTTTCACTTACCACTAAACTTTGAATAGAAATTATTTTCTGGCCAAGTTGGGCTATTGTAAAATTTTTGAATTGCATTTTTAATGCTAAAAAAATTACCAGCTAACAACAAATCATAAATACCATTAAAATAACAAAAGTCAAAGGATTGTAGGATCCTTTGAATATGGATTGTACTTCTTCTTTCACACAAGTGCAATGGAATAGTTTTTTTAACAATGACAGCATTGCTCTGATTAGGTAGATTTTAAATATTTTTTCAAACTTAAAAATATTTTAAAAGTTTACATTTAGATAGTAAATTTCATTTAATTTCCTTGAAAACAAGTGAATTACGTTAAATATTATTGGTTTTCAAAAATTATTTATAATTTTTTTGCCACTCTCTGTTACCTTCTACAACTTTATATATTAGATATTATTTTTTCTAAAATTCTCCGCTTTCCAACGATATTATACCTTCTGACTGTTATTTCCTGAGATTCATTTTTGACCTGGAGAAGCATTTTTATTGTTTTCTCCTTTATTCAATTATCAAATTCTTTCAAAAGTTATATTTGGCATTTTTTTGTAACTCTTAATAATGATAGATAGTTAATTATTTAAAATGAGCCATATTAAAGGTACTTAAAGGGAAGACCCATATGAACATTGGGTTCACCTTTTATATAAAGTGGCACTTCCGGTTAGCCGATTTTAAGGAAAAAGTTGCTGTCACATCTAAGGCATACACCTATCTTAAATACGAAATATCAGTTTCGTACGACTTTTCGTTTTTGAGCTAGACTGCTTTTGAGATACACACACATAGACCATTTTTCGGGACTTGGTAATTTGGACTCAGGGTACCCTAAAACGTGTATTTCTGTTGAAAACTCAGATTAAAAAATGTTTACGATCGTATATGGTGGATGAGTCAGGAGTCTCATATCAGAAGGGTTTTTCAATAAATTTTCACAAATTCCTAACCTCTTAGCTGATTGCTGAGGAGTAAGTTCGTGAGTGACCAGTCTACTGCTCTTTTTCATCTGCCCCATGGAGAGTAGATGGTGACTAAGAATCTCACGAAACATCACCCTTCCTGGCAAGTTCGCGAGTACTCGTGGACAGATTTGACCCAATAGCTTTCTGCAGAACCTCTCAATATCCAATAATGGTCGCCCATAACCTATCTTCCTTCCCAACATCGTATCTCCACTGCTAAATTTTTCAAACCAACGCCGCACAGTGCACTGGTCAAGAACACCTTTCCCTTTATATTTAATAATTTCACGAGTTGTTTCAGTGGCTGTGAAATTTTTTTCCAGTGATGCCTTAAAATTACAAGAGGTTTGTAGGATACTCTGTCATTTTTCTCTTTAAAACAAATAATTAAAATGAGGCTTTTTTTGAAAAAGTCCAATGGAATTAAACAAGCTTAGAGAATGCTCTAAAGGGATTATTAAATATTGGTAAGTATTAAATAGGATTAATATATTTACAGTCCTTTGAAATCCTGAATTTGATAAAATGGTCATTTTTGGGTATACACCCTATTAGCTTAGACCACTCTTAGTAACAAAAGGGACCAAAAAAGCAAAACATTTGAGAGCTTCAGACCAAAGTCACTCCTCTTCCTCCCCAATTACTGATTAACCCTTTGACTGTGGGAGCGTATTGCGTGTTTCTACCAGATGGTGCTTCCTGAAATCCAAAAAGATGTTCAGAAAAACAGATACATTTTTTTGCATAAATTTATTTAAAATGCTTTTTTGAGTCATCCTGCTAGATCTTAGCTTTCAAAAATGCATTTTAATCTTTTTATTCAACTTTTAATAAACGGGACATATGCCTTCCTAGCCCCACATAGCAATGCAATATTAGAGTGGCAACCCTGCAACACTTCTCTTTCTTGCATATTTGCTAATTTCTAAAAAGCAAAATAACTGAAAATTGTCATAAAAATTAAATTATATTATATTTCAAAAAAAGGACACCAACAGGATGATTTAAATTATATATTTCTTTGTATTTACAATTTGTTTTTCTTACTTAAAAAAGTTTCGTATTGGAAATAGCGTAGTTATGAATTTTATTATTGCACTTACATGTATTTTGAATTTCAAACACTTTTATATTATATAAAACATATATATTGATTTTAGATGGATGACAAAATTATATAACAACTATTTTGTCTATGTGTATGTGAACACTCTTGCTCGAAAACGAATAGTCCTACGAAACTGATATTACGTATTTAAGATTGGTAGTATATTATGTATAGTATAGTATGTAAGATAGGTATATGCCTTAGATGTCCTAGCAATTTCTTTCTTAAAATCGGCTAACCGGAAGTGTCACTTTATATCAACGGTGAAATACATTTTTACAATTTTCTCAAAAACGGCTTTTTGATTAAACTCGGTGTATCATTGTCTAATTAAGTGATCTTTAATATCATTAAGGTCTTATTCCCGTTGATGTCACTTTACAAGGCTTAAATGCCCAATGTTCATATGCATCTTCCTCTAACGTACCTTTAATATGGCTCATTTTAAATAATTAACTATCTCTCATTATTAAGAGTTACGAAAAAATGCCAAATATAACTTTTGAAAGAATTTGATAACTGAATAAAGGAGAAAAAAATAAAAATGCTTCTCCAGGTCGAAAATGAATCTCAGGAAATGACAGTCAGAAGGTATAATATCGTTGGAAAGCGGAGAATTTTAGAAAAAATAATATCAAATATATAAAGTTGTAGAAGGTAACGGAGAGTGGCAAAAAAATTATAAATAATCATTTTTGAAAACTAATAATATCGTATATCACATGTTTTCTGTATCTGAGATTCTGATATCAGTAATTATCAGAGGATATAAGATAACTCAATAGATTGACTTAACTGGAATGTAAATCAAAACCTTATAACTTTCAGTTGTAAATTAAATTTATTCAATTTTAAATAAATCATTTTGACAGATCTTACAAATACTATCACTATAAATCCAAGTAAAAAATCACATTATTTTACACAGATTACATGGGTCCTAATGATAGTCTTAATTATTCCTCATTAATATAGAAATCGATTTTAACTACACAAGATAAGCAGCAGTTCAACGACCCCTTCATTTGATGGTTGACAATACCTCACACCAAATTGAAGTCTGAGAATACTGATAATCATTGTTTATTATAGTGCATCTCAGTAAGAAATTAATTCATGACTTCACAATTTTAATTGCTCAAGTACTTTTACTGAATTTACTCAATAAAATGAACATAAGTAATTATTTATGAATGCTTTACTTTCTTTCGTTTTATTTTTTCATGTTTTGCCCGAATATGATATTTCAGATGGCTTGATTGTGACGAAGTATGATCACAATGTGGACAAGAATAAGGTCTCAACTTTTGATGCACAGCTAATATATGAGTTTTAAGGTAATTAGAATGAGCTGACTTAAATTGACAGTGAGGACACCCATATGGTTTAGTTTTCATATGGCGTGCTGTTATGTGAGACTTGAGGTGGCCAGACTGGACGCATCGATATTCACATTGCGGGCAACCATAAGGTTTCACCTTATCATGCCTGGCCATGATATGAAATTGAAGATTGATTCGCTCAGCTGATCTGAATTCACACCTATCACAGGCATATGGTTTCCTTTTTTCGTGCCTAGCCATTATGTGTGACCTGAGGTGCCCAGATTCAGCAGATGCATAGTCACAATGTGGACATGTATAAGGCTTCACTTTGTCATGCTTCGATCTAATGTGAATCTTGAGATAACTATTATGAGCAGACCGAAAATCACAATGTGGACAAGCATACAATTTTTTCTTTTCATGAACAGCTTTAACATGGTACTTCACATGACCTGATTGAACCGATCGGTATGGACAATGTGGGCAGGCATACGGTTTATCTGTGCCATGCATTGCCATTACATGAAATTTAAGGTACGTAGAATGAGCAGATTTAAATTGACAATGAGGGCAAGCATAAGGTTTAAGCTTATCGTGCAAAGCTTGAATATGAGCTTTCAGATGAGATGTGTGAGCTGTCTTGAACTCGCAATGCGGGCAGGAATGAGGCTTTAGCCGATCGTGCTTAGCCATAACATGATACTTTATGACACTTGGACGCATTGCCCTGTAGTCGCAATGAGGACAAGCGAATGGTTTCACTCCAGCACCATGAACCTCTATAACATGTCTATTAAATGAACCAGCTTGAATGCACTTGAATTCACATTGTGGACAAACAAGAGGCTTTTTCTTGGCATGTTTTGATGTTACATGAATCTTAAGGCTACTAATTTTTGAAGATTTGAACTTGCAATAAGGACACCTAAATAACCCATGCTTGGCAGTTCCTTTTGCTTCTTGCAAGAAGTCCAATTCCCAAAGATGGTGTACCTTTATATGAACTTCTAAATCTGATATATCATGAGAAGTCTCCCCGCAGTGGTAGCAAAGAAATGGTCTATCTAAACAAAACAAAGATAAAACGATTAAAAGAGTAATTAACAATCAATTATCATAAATTTTAAAAACATGAAGGATAGAACATCTTATTTATTTTAATAAATAAAATTAATAACTGTTTACTTTTTTTACAAAAGAAAAAATAAAGCTATTACTTTTAAGAATTGATTAATTAGTAGTTCATAAAATTTACTATAAATTTAAATTTATAATCAACAAATGCTATTATTAGTTAGGCAAATGAGAAATTAATAGAATCTTTTTTTCTAAATGGTAATTGTTTAAATTAAATTTGTTAAATTTTATTCATGTTTTTTAATCTTGAAAAAATGAATATTTAAAACAAATTAATTTATTAAATAAACAACATAAGCATATTTTATTTAAAGATGATTATTTTCCATAATCAATCAGAAGATTTGATTTCAATATTTAAACCATTGAACAGAGGATTGACATAACATTTTTTTAGTGTAATACAAATGTATATGTCTTCAAAAGTGCATGCAATAACATTATAACATGCAAGAATAACTAATATAAATTAAATGTAAAGAGAAATACAACCTTCTTTTGAACAACACACAATTTTCTTTCTGTAGTCCTTGTTTGGAAGGATGAAGGTCAAGGTTTCACAAATAGAAGGTTAAATTAAATCTCTTTAAATTAATTGTAAAGAAATGATCTCAAACTTTAAATCATAATCTCCAAGATTTAAATTTCATAATTGATATTCTCGCTAATAAATGTTGTACTAGCTGTCAGTTTTTTGTTTCGTCCTCAGCTGAAGAATATTATACGACCAGGAATAATAATTTTTCAATTAGTGCTATTATCCATAATCTAGTGGCTATTGGAATGTGGGAGGAAACCATTTCCCATAGAAAATAGACCTACAGGATGAAAATTCCCACAGAACAACAAATTTCTGAGTTCAGAAACATTTAAAAATTGTGAATAGCTGTATTTCTGAAACTATTGAGTCTACAGAGATGATTTTGGTTTCAAATCATGGTAAATTTACACTACTTTGAAAGCATATACAACAGTTATTGACATAAAACTAGTTTTTCAGGATCAAAATTGCCAAAAACTATTAAAAAAAACAAAAATTCCGTGTTCTTTTTTAAATTATGACACTGTTATGTTTGGTGTTTGAGATCGAAAACTTAGATTATACATGGAGACAACAACATAAACTCAGAAATAATTCAGAACTACTGAATTTAAGAACTACACCCTTTAAGAGGTTAAAGTTTTCAAATTAATAACGTTAGCTACTGAATCATGAACATAATGAATGATATAAATCTCAATCACAACACAACCACCAATTTTATTAATGAGATTGATCCTTTAAATGAACCACACACTTTATTACTTCTTTTAATTGTGAATAGTAAATTATGAAAGTCACCTCTCTTTTCACTCATAACTCAGTAAATCTAGAAGAACTAACTCAGCAGTGATGACAACATATAATTTTAACTAGAAGGCCCGTGCAAAAGATTCGTACAGCATATTGTTAAGTGATCAAATGCCAAATTAATAAGAAAAGAAAATAATTCAATGTATAAAAAAGGTAAAGAAATCAATTGTTACTTTATCGATAAATATAATCGACAAAGGAAACAAAAATTAATTTAAAACTTCATTAATGTTTAGAACCAACATGTTTACAAATTTCAATTAGCAGTATCATTGCTAAAAATTGTCCGATTAGATGATTTTTTCCTTTTGTAGGGAATCCAGTAATCTTTTATATAATCATGGGCGTAACCCAGGAAAAGTGTCAAATTTTTTAGTTATTCGCAAATAAAGTTTCTTTTCTTTCATAACTCGTTTGCCTAATTTTCGAGATTGGAATATTTTGCCCGCCTGAAGAAGAAGGAAGCCTTCAAAATTGGTGGCTCAATCTTGAAATTTGGTGAAGAATTAACAAAGATATGGCTTGCTGATAAAAAACAAAATCGATAAATAATATAAACTCCTCCTCTCTCGATCATAGAGGCCTCAAGCTGACGAAATTGGACATGTATTAAATGACAGTACTACAATTAACGTAAGCTTTTTTGTGGATGCGAATCCTATGCCTTGCGTTATCTCGAAAATAGTACGTTTTTGTGCTTAAAACGCAGGATCTGATAGTTATGAAGGTCTTGCTGTACGCATCAAAATCTTCAACCCCATTCATGGTATTTGAGTATGACTGGAGCTTATTTTTCTACAAAACCAATTTGGAGCCTTACTGTAATAATATATGTGGGGATTATCATGTAATATCCGCACATGTATGGTAAGAATAAATAAAATAGAAAAAACAAAATAAGAAAATTCATTGAGCTGAAGACCATAATGGCAAAAATAATGAAAAAACAGCACTAATAAAATTCATAAATAAATAAATGGTCTACTTTCTAACAGTTATACAAAGAAGTAGGGTGGTCAGGATTTGTGCTCAAACATCAGTTTTTTTTCATCCCCACAAAGCACCAAAAACACATAATACAGTTTGGGTACCCTAGATTCCCCAGTGTTGTTAAAAACCTGAAATATATTAAAATTTTCCTCCGAAAGTAAGACCATTAAGTAGAAGAGTGCTATTGAGTAATTTTAAATTGCAAAAATCGTGGCACATTAAACTTTAAAAATTCAGTTTATAGACACAGAATAAACCAACAGTGAAATGAAGAAAGACAGCATGGTAAGACATGAATAATAATATGATAGCATGGATTTTTAGGGAGGGAAATTACTGTACTAATAGAATAAGAATAAGCATGAAATAAGTTGATGTAAATCAGGTTTTGTAAATTCTGACATATTTTCACATAACAAACAGTAAATTACTATAAGAAAGTGATCGGAGTGTTGATATGGTGAAGAGATTGATAACATCGAAAAATTCCCAGGCATAATGTTACAGCAAAAACTAGTTTATCTCTGGATTAAATGTCTGAAGAACATAGAATATCAAATGTTAAAATGTTGAAAAAGACAATTTACAAAAGACCTGTAAAAAATAAAAACACAGACCCATTTCCCAGTGCTTGTACATCCCAATAAAAATAATTATTAGGAAAAAATAATAAAATACAAAGAAGGGAAAAATGTCCTTAACCTCTAGCATGCATATAAAAGGGTGAATAAAATATAAATGTTAATTTTCTATACATTCATTGATTAATTTTAAACATAAACCAATACATTTAGTATTTACTAGAGTAGTGCCAATATGACCTAGACACTTTTGCCACCCATTTCAGAGTTGATATATTTCTCGTTCATAATTAAATTTTTAGTTTGAATTATTTTTCTCGAAGGGAGTATTTAGCTTAAGGAGAATTTTACTCGATGATTTTCTTCACAATCAATGAATAGTGAACGCGGCTTGCTGTCAGTTGTTAAGTTGGCAAAAACTGCCAAAAGAAAATAAGAGGTATCAGTAGCTTGTGCCTAGTTAATTGTGGCACAAAAGAATGAATAAGAGAATGAGATGTAAAAAAACAGAAGAATTAATAAAAGAATTGGACGATAAAATTTAAAAAAAAGCTTAGTTTCTTTAATACCAATGCAATTTCATTCATATATCAATCATGATTTGTTTAATATTTCTAACACATTAGGATTAATGCTTCTTAATGTATGTATCAAATAGAAAAAAGTTGTTTATAAGTACTATTTTTACTACATATAATGTATCACTACTATTTTCAGATAATGGTATTATTACTACAATCTTCATGCACTTATAAACCAATAATTTATTAATTGATAAAGAGAAGTAATCAACATTATTGCATTTTTATACAACATGAAGCAGCAATCTTCAGAATGTTAAATGCTAATAAACATTTTTAAAAAATAAATCAGATTTTGACAAAATATTTGTACCAAATAAAGATTTTAGAGTGTCTTTCTTTCAATAAATTGCTAATTTATATATGTTGCCGAAATTATTTCATGCAATTTGATGTTTAAAAGGAATAATTATTTTGAATCAGATATTAATTGATTCTACATCTGTTAGTATCATAATCCAGACAAAGAAAGCAAAGCAAAAGGTAAATATGAAAAAAAATATATATACAGTAACTAAAACCTTGAAAATAAATAAACTATCACAGGCAAGAAGCTGAAATATAGTCCATTCCTCTAACACTAAAAATGTTATCAAAAGAATGAAAATTATTAAATAAAAAAATTCAATGAAAAAAAAAATAGTTTGCATCTGCTTCCTCTTTCCCGGAGGAATTAAAAAAATAGACAAAAAGCATCACTAAAAGCACTATTAAAACAGTGAAAAACAAATGGATCAGTAGATAATTAGTGAAATTGATAAACAATTATAATATAAAATCTAAAATACAAGCAAATCTAACATGCTCATACAAATGTAATAAATAAATTAAATGCGAACCTAAAGATGGATCACACGAGAAAATAAAAATTCTACTAAAGAGTCAATCAAGACACACAACAGATTAATATCTTACTAAAATGGAGAAGACAAAACCTAAGCAGAATGTTCCAGAAAGGAGCAATGAGGAAATTCCATTATTTCCAAATATTTTCCTCACATCAGTAAGATAGCAGGCCATTTGAAGAGTTGGGCATGTATAGCATGGACTTATTTACATCCAATCTGAAAAATGATTTTTATTCAATAAGGACCTACTTCCACTCGACTTATCAGTTGTGGTCAAGAATAGCACCATTCAGTTTATTTTTATTAATTATGAGGCTGAGAAAGTGATAAATCAAATGCTTTAACAAAAATGTTTTAAAATACAGCTATTACAGTTGTAACTTAAACTAGAAACAACTGGAAGATGCCATTCTTGACTAATGAATTATACCAAGTGGTATACTAAGTTGTTAAGCCATCAAAACATATGGAACACAGTTAACATAAAAAACAATACAAGAAATATCATGTTAATCTGAAAACTATTAAATACCTTTTGGAGAATTACATCTTTCTAACTTTATAGTATCCTTAATTTCTTCTGCTATACCTGCAAATAAAAAAAGTTAAAAATAGTATACAATATAATATATATATAATAGTATGATCTGGTGAAAAACGTTATAAGTATAAATAATAAATAGAAACCACAGAATAATAAAAATTTTGAATTCGTAAGTGTAATGAGACAAAGCAGATATGATTGTTGACCAGCTCAAAGAACAAACTTCTTAGAATGCCAAGCTCCGTGACATTACGTTTATGAATCAGACTTATCAAATCCAATAACCATCAAAAATATGGGTGAAAGTAGTTGAAAACAATCGACTTTACTTTGAAGAGTAGTATTTAATAATGTTTATAATATGAAAAGCTATACCTGTTCAAAAGGGCTTTTGTAAAAATCTAGTATTATCTTAAAAAATAGAGATCATAAAATAAATCATTATAAGAATATGTCATCTAAACATATTTAGTAGTGAAGTCACTAACAGAAGTAGCTTGGAATACTTTCAACATAATATAATAATCTGAAATGTGGAAACTTACATATGGAAGTTGAAGGTTGATTCCATTTATTGAAAAGTTTTTCATCAGCTGCAAGATGGTTCTGTTCCAGATCTAATAAAGAAATAAGCAAACTCTAAAAAGGAAATATAACAGAACTAAATGTCTCTAGGGATAAAAATTAAAAAGCAGGGATTAAAACTTTTCCAATAACAGTTTCTATGCCATCCCACTATAACAGTTTCTGTGAAACGTTTTAAGAAAAAAAGTTTTAAGGAACTTTTATAGGATGAAGTTCTAGGTTTTTAAAGTTCTCACATGAAGTTGTTATTAGAAATAAACAGTAATTGGGCTTATAAGTAGATTCATAATTTATCTTAAATGAACTACTTGATTTTAATGTATCATTTGTTTGAGTAGCTCAGAATAAATGTCATGTTATATATAGACCTGTAGATGAAATAACAGAACTTTGAAATAAATGTTTTTTCAAAATAAAAGTTTTGTAAAACCTTAACTTGAAATACTGCGAAGGAAAAAGTTCTATGTCTGAAATAACAGAAACAAATTTAAAATCACGATTCCAGCCATACTGAAAATTTAAAAAAATAAAAGTTGAAATTTCATTTCAAGCCATGTAAAAATATAATTGGAATAAGGAGGGCACAATAAAAACCATCCTAATAATAAAGTTTAGCATTCTTCTAATTAGACAACAGCCTAACAAAGAAATCAAGAGTAATAGATATAGAATAGAAACATAGATTATGAAGAAAGGGGCATACAGAAGGAATGAATTATTATCAGAATTAAAACAAAAAAGACAATGATTTCTATCCAACAATCAAAAAATACATGCTTTGATCTAAAGATATAGTCAGGGTAGTGGGGATATGGTGGAACAGCATCCTCCCTTTCATTGCCTCCATTGCCTTTAATTATCTCCCTTCCACAAGCGGAAGGCAAAGCAGAACTCTAGATGATCCCAGTGCTCCTCTCCCAGCCACGTCGCTGGTATTGGAAGCCAATGGAGATGAGAAAGAGCACTTCAGCTACAGAGGCTAAAGACTCTGCCAAAATTCAAAAAGCAACAAAAAGACCTGGAATTTGTAGGAATGTCAGCAGTGAAGATGATGTATAGAACACCTAGACGCTGTGTGGAACACAGATCTTAACTAGATAACAATTGGAAAATTCTAAGCCGCAGCAGATTCGGGAGGAATGGTTTGATAAGTAAGATCTGAGGACTAAGTATATGAAAGTGGGTTGAGCTTGAAAAGCAAGCCATCAAATTTAAAATTTTCAAAATTACAATACTTTCTCTTACTATATATTTCATATGTACACTGGTTTATTATTCTCTAATAGTGTTATAACAAAAATGTTTGGGAGCTTCACTCACTAAGCTTTTCTTATTACTTATGGTGAATTTCCATTACAAAAGTTGTTTGCTATTTTCGCACTAATATTGGGCCAATTAAGTTTGTTTGTTTGTTGAAGTTGTTTGTTTTTTTTAATTTCACTTATACATATATATACATATATAAGTGAAATTAAAAATAAAAAAACTTAATTGGCCCAATATTAGTGCGAAAATAGCAAACAACTTTTGTAATGGACATTCACCATAAGTAATAAGAAAAGCTTAGTGATTGAAGCTCCCAAACATTTTTGTTATAAAACTATTAGAGAATAATAAACCAGTGAGTAATATTTAAGTTTTTTTTAAACAGCTCTATTCTAGTTCCCATAGCAACCTTTTCATTCCCTCCACCTGTTATTTTAACTCTTTATTATGTGTGGTTGCTAATGGCAATTAGTAAAAATAATTTTTTAGCTAAAGAGTAACAGCTGTAAGAAAAAGTTAACAAACCTGATAATCACCAAGGTAACTATCTTAGAACAGCAGTTTTATTTCTTATAAATAAAACAATATAATTGCAATATGAAGTGTAAATTAGAAAATACAAAAAAATAAAAAATAAAAAAAAAATTACCAACCTGTTAAATGGAGAAAAGGGGGCTCTTCTTTAATTTCCACAAATGAGTCTGGGACTTCAGCTGCAGTTAATTCCGTTAAAAGACCTACAAATTACATTTTTTTTTTTTAAATAAATAAATTTCTTCCAGAATAAAATTTAAGAGTTTATGAAAAATACGTACCATTGCTTTGGGATAATTCACCATATTCGAAGTCAGGTTCTTGCTTTATTGAATAACAGCAATCCGCGACTACAATAAAAAAAAATATATAGTAAATAAATGTATAACAATTCAGAAATAAATATGAATAAAGCTAGTAACACTTTAATTATAAGATACTACTGAGATATAGCCAATTTGAAAAAAGAGCTATATCCTACAGAATTAAAAGATAGGAATGTGAGATAATTTTGATTGAAACATGGAATTTTTAATCAATAAGTTCAACAATAACCATTAAAAATTCAAACTTTAGGATATTCCTCACCATTAGTAAAAGTAGAATCATTAAAAAACAATGGTTCCTGTTTGATGGCAATTGTCTCCATCTTCTCTTCACAGATGGTAAATAATTTCTAACTGAGTGTAAAGGGGAAAAAGTAGGTAACTATGGAAATGAGAAAAACAACCAGCTGTCAAGTTTGACCGGAACGTATGATTGTCTTAATCAAGAGAAGGTTATAAGAGCCGAAGAAGAACAATAATGTCAAGTGATAATGTAACTAGGTGCTGTTGAAATACGGTAACTATTGTAAATAATAGTTATTGAATATATAGATTTATATTTATAAATATGCAATAAAAGGAACTGATTATATTACAATGTAGAAGATCCCAAATACAATTTTAAAATATCGTGAATGTCCTAATGAAGTTGGTTTCATTGACGCAAACTCATCAGATATTAAAAATCATCCAATTACGATCAGCAGTGTTAACATAACTAAGAATTCCATGTAATGATATTTCTAGCAATTGGACGTATCGACAATAGTAGATGTCACTTTATATTGTGGATGTCTGAGATTATAAGTCGGAATTGAGTGTCTTGCCTAACTGGTTTACTTAAACAATTAATCATTTTTTGAGGAATTTTGGTCCTTTATAAGAAAATGACGTTTCATCCTACTATTTTTTATCATCTGACATTTATTCTTACATGGAGAAATTCTTGACGAAGTTCACCTGCTAAATCATTTTGGAATACATCACTATAGATATTCCTGTTCAAAAAGAATTACTGAATCCGTTGTTGGAATTCTAGGAGTAACATTTTAGTTTTGCTTCTGAAACCTGATTTATCTACCCATGTTGAGACACATGTTAATTAAATTGTTTATTTATTTACATGATTCCAATTATTCCCCGTTTGAAACATTTAACATGGGATTTAAAAAATGTTTTGAAGAAGTACCTTGAGAGTAAGAATGAATTATTTATTTTCTTTAGAGGCGGGAGGGATACACTAAAAAGACATTAATATTCTGTACTCTTGTTATCGTTTTATGGAAACTGCTGAGCACGTCGTCAATACCTACCCTCTGGAATACCGGCCTTAACTGAAAAGCACTTGAAAAATCCTGTGCATCAACGGACGGAGAGATATTCAACAGCTTGCGTAACGTCCACAAATGCACCCGAGCTATATTGTCTGTTATCCAGGATTGAGGAAATACATCAACTATTCGCAGACCTTATTGGACTGTGTAATATTGCAAGCGAAGTCCAAACTGTTGGAAAGGAAGATTTTGGAAATCTATAAAGGGATTATGAAAGAATTGGTAGTAGGCTAATGAGATATGGTGTATTGGATGTTAAGCTGTTGGGAGGTTTGTTTTGTTTAAGAAAAAGAATAATGGTGAAGACGTGAGGATGAGCTAATTATGAGGAGGACAGGTGGATCTACGGGGAGGGGAGAGCTTTCGGGCTGAAGCCCTCCCCCCAAAACGGTAAAATATAACCATGGTTTATAGAAAAAAATATATTAAAGGCACAGTGAGGAAACCGTTTTGAAAATTCAGGATTTAAGCTCTGGCAGAAAATTTCAATTAGGATAAGAACTATCTATTATTTAAAACCGTGTAATTGTAAATTGGTATAACTAATTTAATTAAAGACGTTTTCATAAGACTTTCGCCTGGGCTAAGCGGTTCACTTACATATAGATACAAACATAGGCATTTTCCTTAACTTAGTTATCTGGATCTAGGGAACCTCAAAACGTGTATTGTTAAAAACTTGGATTCGATATTTTACACGATTACAATACCTTCACTTAATACTTCATGTACAAGTAAGTTAAATTCACAAATAAAACTATTTGATTGCAAGAAATAAGAGTGTTACTTTAGTATGATGTTGAAGGCCCGATGCAGCTATTTTTTGAGACCCCTTCAGTTTCTTACTAAAATTACACATTATACAATGTTAGTTATTAATTGTATTTCTAAATATAATTTGAATTTTTATTCCATTGTTATGTAATCCCCCGTTCACTATTTCAGGCCCTCCTTTGAGTGGAAGCTCTTGTTTTTTGTCACCAGCATTTACGTCCCTGTGCTACCTGCCTATGATAGCAAACTGTAATACCGTTTTGAACTTTTCTATTCTTGCAATCAAAACATATCATTATCATGGTTTTTAAATGGTTGGCAGAAGGTATCTAATAATGACGGTGACATAAATTACTCCAATGCAACCATGAAGCACTGGGTCTCAGAGTCTGTGTGGGACGAGAGAGGACTGTACATAAATTAAATAGAAACAAATGGCAAAATTAATAGAAACAAATAATAATTAATATATATACCATAATTTCGTTTTGTTAAGTGCGTTCAAGAGAGAATTTGAAAGAAGTCAGGAAAAGCAGTAAGGATAATAAAAAAGATGCTTATTTTTCATTAACAGAAGGATGAGGGAGGCATAAGAAAAACCCTTGCATTGGGTTGCTACCATAATAATTAGGTACGCCACTACTCACTACAGAAATTATGACTTATTTCTATTACTTCAAAAACTAATAGAGCCGATAATAACAATAAATCATAGAGTCGAAATCAATTTATACCTGTCGCCTTCAATTACATGAAGGAGTTGGTGGTCCATGGAACCAGATCTCACTTCCTATTTCACTCTTTGATTTGCAACGTATTTTATAGCACCAATGTCCAGGTTTGATAGAATTTCATGACGTCTATTAATTTTAGCGGCATTTCATACAAAAATATGGTAACCAACAATCTGTAACAATTAAGAGCTATAATTCATGCATTTGTTAATGTAACAATCAATAAAATACAAGCTCTTACCTTGGTATTTCAGAATTGGCAGTACAATACATCGGCAAAGAAATCAATATATTATTTGTCAGGACCGTACATTAGGACATGTTGATGGTTAAAAACAAAACCAATATGTTTCCAAAACACCTGTTCTTTCGGAAAGAGATTAAGAAGTATAAAATCTGTAAGTTCTTATAGAAGATAAAATGTGATAGATCTAATTATTTCTATCACTTAATTGATTATTAAAATTATGAGGAGTTTTTGGCAACTTACACTTATTCTGAAATTTATTCTAGTTTTGTTGCGTCTTTTGTTTTTGTTTTTCACAGATTTGAAAAAAAACGAACAACTTTATGTTACATTAGGACATAAAATGTTTGTGAAACAATAGCTCACACCCAAGGCATTATTTCATACCAAAAAAATGATATAAATGAAGGAACTTAGTCTACTGTTCTATATACCATAGGTAATAAATGGTCAGGAAGTAGCCATTTATTTTTTTTGTTAAAATTTTTATTGGTACCGATGTTTACCTACCTAAGTCCACATGCTTGGATTGAAACAACGGCACCAATTAAAATCCCAAACCAATTATCACCTATTCAGTTGTTATGCTTTTATTCATCAATATGTTTTATGATATGGAAACATTAACATAATTATAAAATTCGGGCTTGGGCTTACCTGACATTCACATATTACAATACAATGTTCCAATCTGATTAACAGAAAAAGGTGGATATAGATATACAAAAATTGATACTTCATAGGGGTTATTTATCGTACACAGTTAGAAAGGACCTCCTCCTACTAATACTCCAACTTGGCATGACCTCAAATTCAGATGGACAGAACATCTTTTTTCAGAAATTGGCTCAAAACCACCCATCCTCTGAAATGAACTATCTTTCATTGATTACGTAATTGTGCTGGTAACTAATCATATGTTCTAAGGGTATGGAATTCCGCCTAGTCAAGGGAGAAGTTCAGGGACCCACCTGACTTTTTCTTAAATAAAAAAAAAATAAAGATTTTTTATTAAATGTTGTATTATCTTTAGCAAAAGTGCCGTTTCAATTCTGTGTCTTATTATTGCTTTCACATGCATATGTATGAAATATATAGTAAGGGAAAGTATTGCAATCGTAAAAAATTTCAAATCTGACTTTCAACGGAAATGCAGGTTTTGAGGTTCCCCTAAGTCCAAATAACCAAGTCTCGCAAAATGGTCCGCGTGTGAAGTGAACAGCCTAGCTCAAAAATGACGAGTCTTACTATACTGAAAATATATATTTAAGTTAAGTATATGCCTGGGGTGTTATAGAAGAAACATTTCCTTTAAAATTGGCTAACCGGAAGTACCACTTTATACCAACAATTTTACATATTTTCTTTCGAAAACGGCTCAAACGATTTTGATTAAACTCGAAATATCGATGAAAAATTAAATGTTTTTCAAAACCAGCTATTTCATATTCTCATTGATGTCACCTAACAGGACTTAACTTAAATACTCTATATTCCAAATTTCTTCCTCTAAAGTATCTTTAATTTGGTTTATTTTAAATAAATAACTGCCTCTCATTGTTAGCAATAATGAAAAAAGGCTAAATATAACGTTTCAAATAATTTTGTGATTGAATAAAGGAAAATGTTTGTTTAGGTTGAAAACGAATTTCTGGACATAATAATCAGAAGTTATACAAATAATATATGACTAGTATACAAAGTCGTGGAAGGTATTGTTGAGTTATGAAAAAATTATAAATAATAATTTCTGAAAACTAACATTATTTAACGGAAACCACATATTTCCAAGGAAATAAAATGACATTTATCAATTATCTGTAAACCTTTAAAATTATTTTTTAATTGAAAAAAAATGTATAAAATTCACTGAATGAAGATGATGATATTGTTTTATAATCTATTTAATTGTATGTGTGTGAAAGAAGAAGTAAAAAATAAAATATTTCATGGGTGTGTAAAACATATGTTTATAACCTTAAATACATTTATTGTAATTTTAATAACTCTAGATCTAATTTTATATTTAGATAATTAGTAACCTATCGTCCATTTATTCTTAAAAATCATGATGTAATATTTAAATAAATTAAATTCGTGAATAATTTGATGTATTTTCCCTCAGTAAAATCACAATATTATTCAATTATAATTATTGTAACAACTTTTGACCTATCGTTGGTAGGTCAATGAAAATCTCGTAACTATATTTTAGTAACCTTTACAATCGAAAAATAAGAGTTTAATAACAAATAGTAGTACAATCCATAATAATTTATAGATTAAATGTATAGATGTATTTTCAAATCTCTCTGGGCATAAATAACTCAGA